CGTGCAGTTCAATTCAGGCAACGGCCTTTGAAGTGATGTAGCGTAGCTGTTGACACGCATTTGTTTACTCGTGACTCAAATCGAAACTCACTCAGCACTTGCACCTCAGGGACTTTGTTTTTGTGTTTTCCTGTTCCATGCAGTTGTGGGCAACAGCTTCAATCACAAAGACTTATTTCTGCTGGCTCGATCACACGGGATCCCTGCGGGTGAAAACCTTTGGTGCACAATCAGGTAAATTTAGACATTTAGACTCCGCTGTTGCTTTGGGCATTTGGACGACAGCAGTTCATACACCGTCGCTTACGCATCTTCGTCTTAGAGCTCTTCAGCTCAGAGCAATCGGGGTTTCACATGGAAAAAGTCTCCTGTTGGACTGAACCACACATGTGACCATGCGGTCATACCGTGACCGGCTCTAGATTCAGGCACCTTTCTGTAGGCAAGGTGGTGTGAGAAAATGGACTAGCCTCTCTCAATGGTGTTGTCTCCGGTTTTTATTCCTCTTCATTTCCGGTCTCATCTTTGGTTTTCTTGTCTTTCTGGTGGAGGTGGTGCAACACCAAGTCAATACTGTAGGCCTTCCAAGGTGCGAAGGATCACGAACAGCAAGTACAAACATTGTGGCCATCAATGCGGTTCCATCTCGACTTTGCCATGAAACCCACTGCCATTGTAGAGACAACCCTTTCTGCTTCACTTTTGTTTTGATCTCGTCATCATTCTTCAGCAGGTCTTCTTCCTTCAGCTCATGTAGTGTCGGGAGTCGGGAGCCGCCGGAGGAGAATGTGGTGATCCGCTTTGATCGCCTGTGTTCTGGAACTCCACATAACCAGAACTCAAAAGCTTCATCATGACCATCGACAGCATCGGCTTCATCAATCCATTTGCCAACATCCATGCCGTTGGCACAAGGATCAGGAATCTGATCCGTCCTGTCACTCTAGCCTCCTTTATCGCAAGCACATAGAAGCTTTAAAGTCGATCTTGTGGAATGCCCTTTGATCCAGTAGCAAGCTCGAAAAGTTCTCGACAATTTGTTGCCGAATCCACTGGAATCAATGCAGAGCCACCCTCCTGGTACTCAGTCAAAGTCTTCAAGGAAGGTGATGACTCATGACTCATGCAGTCAAAGTTCAGTCAAACGAGTTGACACCACCGATGTCGCTTCAAGGCCGTTCACTGCGGACAATGTTTTTGCACGACTAGTGCTATAGGATACTCTCATGTTTTTACCACTATGGGCAAACAAAACATGACCAAAGTTGCAACGCTTTCAGAGCTGCAGTCGATCTCATGTTGTCGAAGGAGGGCCTCAGGAAGTTTTGGCATCAGCAACATTCAGCAACACCAAAATGCCTTCTCGAGCATAGCTTTTGCCCTTGGTAGCAGAAGTGGCATCATGGAAGCACTGAATGCGCAGTCTGGTGTCAGGTGCAAAAAGTCGGTAATGTAATGTAAGCCGTAGGCCCAACTGCTGTTTGTCCTGTGTACAAAACTTCTTGACTACCTTGTTGGCAAGTGTCAAATGCTTCACTTGAGCATTCGGCACTGAGGACTGTAGAACTCCAGTGTCGGCCACCAGGTCCAATCACGTGGAGCACAACCACATTAAACCATCAATGACTGAAGAAAGTGGCGTGATCTCCTCTGGGGTCAATCTCCGTTCAGCATTACCTTGTGGTTCTGGTGCTGGTTTCATGCGAGCAGCGAAGTCACTCTGATCCGTTTTCAATCCCGTAGCAGTCTGAGCATAGCGACAGGCACAATGAGAAAAGTTTCTCTTTGGTGATCTTGCCAAATTCATTGCATATCTCTTGGTACAAATGGTTGGTGAACACACATATATATATATATAAAGTGTAAATTACCAGCCACTGCCAGGTCATTAAAATGTGTTGCGAGCACAGCTTGGAGAGAGAGAAGTTTCTTCTTGACATGATTCCAGCAAAAACAGCTGTCATCCGGATGGGATGAATTCCTCTCTTCTGTTGTTCTTGAGAGGAATTCGCCCTAGCTGCCAAGCCACAGGCGCATCATTGAGACCATACACTGGCTTCAAACACCATAGGCCATACAACAAAATCTTCCAGGGTTTAATAGAGAATTCTGCATTTGCCTTGGCCCAGCAATTCGAGGTGGAGTCACGGCAACTGACCTGATTTGATTGGTGTCTTGATGCCGCTGCAAAAAAATAACTCGCGAATCCATTCAAGAATGCCCCTGAGACATCCCAACTTCCTGGAGGTATGTTCATGATCGCAGCTGTGGAAAGTCCTTTGAGCCTCGTATCACCCTCTTGCACACATGCGACTCTTGACAATCTTCTTACCAAACTTCCACTTCCAGCAACGAATCCAGATGCCATCCACGACCGCGACGGTTGAATCGTTTAGCGGCTTAGCGCTTCTGAAAGAAAAACTTTGGTGAATGTCTTCTGCTCCAGACCTGTGCTACCAGCGGCCAGATTGCAGGAAGATCATCCTCCGTGATTGCTATCTTTTGGCCATCCACAAGTGATGAGGAGGACGACGCAGCTCCAACCCACCTGCCCAAGGCACGCATCATCGCCGAGCTGCTCCCGTACGCCCTCCGACAGCGACTGCTCTTCAGCACCGAATCCGCCTCCAGCCAAGCGCACTTGCGCTCGCCACCACAAAGCCGCCGACCAAACCCAAAGGCGCCCGCGCCCAACTGGAGGCCGAACTCCATGCCAACTGGGGTTCCTGGGAACCTTGGCAGGAAGAACAACTTGTGGACCTCAAGACTAACGCCAAGCCCCGTCCCAACTGGCAATTCATCGCCAAGAAACTCCACTGCACCCCAGCCCAGTGCAAACGAGATCCTTGAACTCCAGCAATTCATGGACAACACTGCATCCAACCGCCTCCAATGAACCCAGCCCAGCCGAGTCAGCCCATATGAGCGGAATCACTGGCGCCCCTGAGACATGTAGCTTCCCACTGTGTGCCAAGTTCAAGTCGACATGAAGGGGACGATGTCGCGGTGGGTGAACTAAGAAGTTGGCATGTTTGCTGGGTGATGTCCATGAAGGTCATGTAGTTGAACCAGCTCGGAACTTCCCATTGTGGCAGCCCAAAAGTCCCTGATGTTGTACTCGATGAAGATTTTGACGATCGAGCATCCAGTGCAGTGAACGCAGAGTCTCATGGCAGTTCTTTTAAGTACCAAGGGACTCTTGCTGGTGGACGTGAACCGCAGCTTGGCTCTCGAGTTGACTTCAGAGGATTGCGCATGGCGTCAGAGGATTGGCCAAGGTGGTGAGTGGCACAAGGTGAAGCCGGTGTTGTTGACTTCGGAAGACAATGCCACCAGTTTCAATGTCTCAGACGTCCGCAAACTTTCCGGCGATGATCTCCTCGGTGCCACGATCATATTGAACATGAACTCAAAACATGGCCTTCAGCCAGTGGCGCGGCTTGTGTCACAGTGCAAACCAGGCGTTCACATGGACTTCAAGCTCAATGGCACTCATCCAAGTTTCCCAGCCTGGTGGTGTCAATGTTCAAGTGCTTCGTTGAAAAAGAACAAACACAAAGTTGTACGCAACAACACCTGCCTGTTTGACCATCCACTGTCACCAGCCACCAAGTCCACTGTCCATTGATCCCCCTTCGCCTCCACTGCCCATCCGTGCCAGCAGCTCTAGCCTCATCCACACCCGGTGGCATTGCGCAAAGGAGGTTGCTTGGCTTGGAGCTAGCTTGAAGCCAACAAATGTTGATGGCATCCAACCACAAATACATGGTGGAAGCCTAGAATGGCAAACAAAAATCAACGCCTATTGGCTAAGCTTGACGGTTGGTTGTAAGCTGCGTCAAGCACAGAAACTTGCCTATATTGGCTGCTTTAAGTTTTTTCCCAAGCCACTGGTCGACACACATGTCTAGCCATCTTGGTTGTGAACAGTGGAACTGCTTCTTGTAATATGGCCTCTTTGAAGCTGATGTGAAGCAGCCTTCAGCATCTCTTGCCAGCAAATCCAGCGCAGGCTTCAGGTCACCTGCTTGCAAGTGCACAAAGCCAGCATTTGCACCCTGGTGCTGCTTTTCTCAGATGGGACTTCCACCATCGCCAGGGTGGGCTTCTCCAGCTTGGCAGGTCCAACCCCATTTTTTCTTTTTCTGGCTCTCATGCGAAGAAATCAGATTCCACTTTGGCTTGTGCTTCCTGGCCAGAAGCAAGGACAGCTTGTACAACCTTCTCTCTCAGTGCCACCAGCTGTGGTGATTGTGCCAAGGATGGATTTTTGCAACCCTTGAGCAAGTCTGTCCTGTTGCCACAAACCAGCCTGCAGATGTTGGGGTGGCTGCCTTGCATATTCAGGAATTTTTGACCACCATGGACGGCTAGAAGCTGTGGTGGGATTGGGACTGAAGGGCTTCCATTAAAAGAAACAGCAATCCTCTCCTGGATGTCCACCATGGGTGCACTGCCAAAAGGCACACACCAGTATTGGCTTTGCGCAAAAGTGCAGCTTACAAGAGCTGAAGCTTATATCAGCCTGCTCTTGGAAGCATACAAGAGCTGAAGCTTATATTGGCCTGTTCTTGGAAGCAGCCCCCTAGACATAACCTTTCATTGAGCTCGCAGGAGGTGCGCATTTTGATTTTCCATTTTGCAGCCACTTGCAGCTACTTGCAAGTGGCTGCCAAGTGGCTGCAAGTGACTGCTACGTCTGTCCGGAGAATATCATGATATCTCCGCATGCAGTTCTGAAGAAAACCAATATTTCTGCAATGCTGTTCTGCGAAGAAATAATCATAATCCAAGACTTTTCCGAGAATAGATTCTAATCTTCTGCAGAGCTAGCGACGAAGAAATCTTACAGTTTTTACATAAAGAACTCAAAGTACAGTGTTGCAACTTAATTGCTTGAGTGACAAGTGGCTGCAAGTGGCTGCCTGAGCAAGTGGCTGCAAGTGGCTGCAAATGACTGCAAAACCAAAAATCAAAATGTACGTCATTTGCTCGCTCTCTGTAACCTTTTCTTTCCAGCCTGCCACAGGGCGCAATCCATTGCATTTGGAAAACAGCCAAAGCGCTCAGAAGAGGCAATGGACCTTCAAAGAAAGCATGCCAGCGCAGCGTGCTCATGCCCTCTTGGCTTTCTTCTTTGCTGGCCATCCTTTGCAGGGGCTTGTAGAAGCACAGCTGGGGCCCTTCTTCAATGACAGCCTTTGGCTTGAACACGGATTCTCAGCCAGCCATTGAACTTGTACTCTGACTGCTCAGCAGTGCTATCTTCTTCCTTGTTTGCTTCCTTGTCTGTGGGCTGGACCCAGGAGAAGGTTGGCAAAGATTCCATTTTGTCAAAGTCACCCAGGGGGTTGCGTGTTTTCAGTTCCCAGATTGGTGTTTTCCCTTCCCGTGGTGTTTCCCTTTCCCAGATTTGTTTTTTCGGTTCCCGTGGTGTTTCTGGTTCCCAGGTCTTGGTGTTTTCAGTTCCTGGATTGGTGTTTTCCTTGCCCAGCTCCTGTGTTGGTGTTTTTGGTTCCCAGGTTTGGGTGTTTTCAGTCCTGGACAATGTGTTCCCTGCCCGGCTCCTGTGTTGGTGTGCCCTTTCACGTGTTTGTTTGTCAGCTTTCGTTTGAATTTCTGGCTACCATTGCCCACCGCTGGATTTGAAAGCACGTACTCGTGTCACACAATTAAACAGACAAAGAACACCGCAAAACCGTCAAAGCCGTTCGCTGTAAAAACATGTCAGTTTGCGTAAACCCACTGCCGCAAAAACACAAGGTACCCGGTGGTTCCTGCTCAGGCGTGATGCACAGGGGCTGGGTCGTAGCTTCTGGCGCTTTCGGACCAAATGTCGTTAGTGTGAACTGAAAGATGCTCTCCAGAAAGGGCAAAAAAACTTGCCGCCAGAAGGCGTTCCAAGATGGTTCGGGCGCGTGCAAGGCACGGCCGAAACTGAACAAGCATCGCTGAACCAAACCAATGGGTTTGGTGAAAGCTGCCAAACACCAGTACTGTAAGAAATAGAGCTCCTGCTGCAACCAAGACACCTCCATGTTTGTGGACACCGTCATCGGAGGTGGCTCCTGTACCGGATCCAAACGGTGGGTTGGCCCACGCCGTGCGGCGCGCTTGCGGTCAAGCATGGTGGTGTGGCTGAACTCATCTCCATGCGCTGCGTCCAGGAACATTGTGAGATCCACGCGCTCCCCTTTCTTTGTGCCACCAGCTGACGTGCCACTGAAACTTAAATCCAAGCACTGACCAGCTTCGTCACTGTGCAGCAACAGATAGCCGTCGGTGTGACTTAGCTTGTCAATGGGCGGCGGTGGTGGTGGTGGTGGTGGTGTCGCGGATTTTCGCATGTTGTTTGTTGATCGTTGTTGGTCGTCGTTGTTAATCGTCGTCGTCGTCGTCGTCGTCGTCGTCGTCGTCGTCGTCGTCGTCGTCGTCGTCGT